AGCAAGCAGACGAGGCCACGTCCAAGGATAGCAAGCAGACGAGGCCACGTCCAAGGATAGCAAGCAGACGAGGCCACGTCCAAGGATAGCAAGCAGACGAGGCCACGTCCAAGGATAGCAAGCAGACGAGGCCACGTCCAAGGATAGCAAGCAGACGAGGCCAAGTCCTACACGTCCAGGGATAGCAAGCGGGCGAGGCCAAGTCCTACACGTCCAGGGATAGCAAGCGGGCGAGGCCAAGTCCTACACGTCCAGGGATAGCAAGCGGGCGAGGCCAAGTCCTACACGTCCAGGGATAGCAAGCGGGAGAGGCCAAGTCCTATCAGTAGCTGGCGCAAGCGACCGCAGTTCACTGCACAAATACAATTGAGTTGATGGGACAATACCTTCAAATATAGTAGCCACTCTTCTGTACGTCTCCGCTCTTCCGTGTCTGAACCCCACACTGTCTCTCCAGGAGCACTGTGCCCCGTCCTGTGTACACTTTCACGCCCCTACCTGTACATACCCCACCTGCGGTGTACAGGTGGAGTATGGTAACTCTGCTGTACCTCCTGCCATTGTACACGGTAGTAGTAGGCATCCATCAGTCTCAGGAGACACTGGAGTTGCGCTCTGGTTGTCGGTCTGGAGTGGCCTCTCCGGGGCGCAAAGCCAGGGTAGGTTGATTCAGATTCAGATTCAGATGTTTATTCAGGTAAGGTATATACATACAAGTGATGTTACATTAATGGATTGATATATAGATAGAGCTAGTACATACAATGCCTAAAGCCACTATTACGCAATGCGTTTCGGGCAATTTCGGGATTCGGGGAAGAAGCTGTTACCCAGGCAGCAGGTCCCCCCTCTCCACGGCGCTGAAAGTCTCCAATGGAAAGGCATACGCCAATACGATTGGTTCCAGCGCCGTCGCAGGAACCAATCGTTCCAATGTGTCGGGCGTACACGGTACGCCCGACACAGGCGATGGCCTCGCATCCTAACTTGACGTACACCACCGTCAGATGAGCCGCCCTGCGACCTTGCCCATGGGACGCATCCTGACTGCGTTAATACGCCTCTTTCAACTCGATTGACACGCTTCACTCTGGTGTAATTCCTCTGACAGTCACTCCGGTTTTACGCACCTTTGAACAATGCACTGTGGATGTACACCAGTAAATGGCGCGTTGTGCTTCAATTAGTGCGTATACACCACCTGAATTTCGTTATACGCCAGATAGAAAACTTAATACGCCGGTTCAGAAGCCCTGTTCGTACGCTTGGAAAACAATATACTTGCAAGACTTTTTTATGGTGCTAAACATACAATATCTTCTTTTTTTTTCAAAAAGCTTGTACCTTCCACGGCGGATTGATACGCGGAAGGAGCATATTACTGAATAACAAACTGGCTGAAAATCCCCAATTCAGTTACGCTGTTCGCCCTGATAACGACCGGAAGCGGCGCTAATGACTTTGGTGCACTGACGGAGATGGTTGGCTAGTCGAGTGGCCTTCAGACTCAATAGACACGACAACAAGTTTACAGATTACCGACGGAGGTGTTAACATTGCCAAGGAAAGGTGGGAATTAAAGAATGAGCGCATGCGAGGCACTTAGTATTTATTTACATCTACACCCACTCAATTACCAGTCATACTCTCACCACTACAATTGTCTTTACTCTTTTGTCTTTGTGAGAGACGTCCAAGTCTAGGTGGAAGTCAGTCTAGGTGGAAGTCAGTCTAGGTGGAAGTCAGTCTAGGTGGAAGTCAGTCTAGGTGAAAGGATCTTGGCTGGCTCTGTAACAACCCATCATTAAACCATTAACTAAATCCTCGTTAATACTGGATATGAAACAGATTTATCCAACAGAAACGAAACACCAAATCTAATCTGAACATAACTATACACGGAAATTTTCTGATACATAATTTATATTCGAGAAACATTTTTTTATTACAAAATATAATAAAAATGACTAAGTCTCTGGAACCAGCTTGAGTTTGGGCGAGGGGCGGCGGAGGACGCGGGCCTGTAGGTTACTCTCGCCCAAGCTGATTCCGACCCCCCCAACCCCCCCTCACCAATGTACCGGGTACTCTAAAATAATTTTAAGTATTGAATAATCAAAAAACGTATATTTTCTCGAATATAAATTGTATATTATATTAATGTATGCATACGTGAGGCTTAAACGGTCGGGGATTGAACGCCAACCTGCATGAAGCGCATTCAAAACGATTAACAAGTCTCTAGGGCAGGCTGCGGGTAAGACAGGCTTGAACATAAGAACAAAGGTAACTGCGGAGGGCCTATTGGCCCATACGAGGCAGCTCCTATCTATAACCACCCAATCCCACTCATATACTTGTCCAACCCGCGCTTGAAACAATCGAGGGACCCCACCTCCACCACGTTACGCGGCAATTGGTTCCACAAATCAACAACCCTGTTACTGAACCAGTATTTACCCAAGTCTTTCCTAAATCTAAACTTATCCAATTTATACCCATTCTTTCGTGTTCTGTCTTGTGTTGAGATTTTTAATACCCTATTAATATCCCCCCCTGTTATGTCCATTCATCCACTTGTAAACCTCTATCATGTCACCCCTAACTCTTCGCCTTTCCAGTGAATGCAACTTAAGCTTTGTTAATCTTTCTTCATATGAAAGATTTCTAATTTGGGGAATTAACTTAGTCATCCTACGTTGGACACATTCAAGTGAATTTATATCCATTCTATAATACGGCGACCAAAACTGAACTGCATAATCTAAATGGGGCCTAACCAGAGCAAGATATAGCTTAAGAACCACACCAGGTGTCTTGTTACTAACGCTTCGATTAATAAATCCCAGTGTCCTATTCGCCTTATTACGAACATTCATGCATTGATCCTTTTCTTTTAAATTCTTACTAATCATAACTCCCAGATCCCTTTCGCAATCCGACTTCGCAATCTCAACACCATCTAGCTCGTATCTTGTAATTCTATCATCATAACCTAGCCTCAGAACTTTACATTTATCAGCATTAAACTGCATTTGCCAATCCTTTGACCATTTCAAAACCCTATCTAGATCAACTTGAAGTGATAGTGAGTCCTCCTCCGAATTAATTTCCCTACCGATTTTTGTATCATCGGCAAATTTGCAAATGTTGCTACTCAAACCTAAATCTAAATCATTTATATATATTATAAACAACAGAGGTCCCAGGACAGAGCCCTGAGGTACTCCACTAACAACATTATCCCACTCTGACTTAACCCCATTTATACTAACTCTGTTTCCTTTGGAATAGCCATGCCCTAATCCAAGTTAATATAGCACCCTCAATACCATGAGCTTCTATTTTTTTAATTAGTCTTTCATGTGGCACCGTATCAAAAGCTTTGCTAAAGTCAAGGTACACAACACTGGTTGAGAACTGGTTGGTGTAGACCGTTTATTTACTCAGCCACTAAACATTTACTCAGTTAACTCAGTTTAACGTTTATTTACTCAGTTAACCCAGCCACTAAACATTGTTTAGTGGCTGGGTTAACTAGCATTTGGCATTTGTAGATGAGGACGGGCTGGCAGATCAACCCGTCCTCAGGCTACACTGGTTAGACCAGCAGCCGACCGCATGGACACCTTCATAAAATGTAACAGTGTGATAAAAATAGGTTTGTTTTCATATATAAATTGATTTTATACAGTAAAATTCAGTGTATATAGTTAGGCGTAGGTCAGGTTAGATGTTAAATTTCCGTTGGCGATTATTTGCGTTTGTATTACTGTACGTGTGTGAAGCTTTTAGGAAGCCGCGATGCGAACAGAACACGTCAGCGAAACACTGCTCGAGGAAGTACATTCGTCAGTTATGACTCGTGTGTAAACCGCTTTTCATTCATAAGGTCGTTCGGCGGCTGGATTAACGAGCATTTGGCCTTTGTTGATGAGGACGGGCTGTTTTGTTGACGAGGACGGGCTGTTTTGTTGACGAGGACGGGCTGTTTTGTTGACGAGGACGGGCTGTTTTGTTGACGAGGACGGGCTGTTTTGTTGACGAGGACGGGCTGTTTTGTTGACGAGGACGGGCTGTTTTGTTGACGAGGACGGGCTGTTTTGTTGACGAGGACGGGCTGTTTTGTTGACGAGGACGGGCTGTTTTGTTGACGAGGACGGGCTGTTTTGTTGACGAGGACGGGCTGTTTTGTTGACGAGGACGGGCTGTGGCATCAGAGATGCTGGGGTTCGAGTGAGACAACCCGAACCCCAGCACCTCTGGGGTTCGGGTTCTCATATATTGGGTATACCAATATTAGATTGGTATATAGGACACAGTTTCTCCTATGGGTTGCATTTTGAACTACGCTCCATGTGATGATACCGATCTTGAATTGCAAATATTCACACATATTAATTGATACATATTAATACATTTTAATTTGAAAATATGGTCCCTATCTGGTGATAGGGACCATAGGTTTGTATTCTGAAATACGATCCATCCGTTATGTATTTTGGTTGTATTTTGAAAGGTGATACAAGATACCAGGATTAGTAGACCTCCAATACTTGAGCAGACGAAGAGAAGGGAATTGTTAGGGGGAAAGCGCCAAGCCATTAGAAGAACATAAGAATAATGGTAACTGCAGAAGGCCTATTGGCCCATACGAGGCAGTTCCTATTTATAACCATCCAATCCCACTCATATACATGTCCAACCCACGCTTGAAACAATCAAGGCACCCCCCCCCCATTACGACTATATAGCACTGGGAAGGGGTCAGGATAAGGATTTGGAATAGGACGGGGAGAGAAGTAATGGTACCCAATCCCTTGGACAGTCGGGGATTGAACGCCGATCTGCATAAAGCGAGACCGTCGCTCTACCGTCCACCCCGAGTGGTTGAGCAGTGACTTCAAAATCTTCACAGTCACAGAGGTTGACGTCACAGCGTTGCGAAGCGTTCGGAAGCACATGTTAATACATCCAGGCCATCGGGAGGCTTCACCTACCTGGTTCGACCCGCAGGTGACAACCAGCTTGACGACAGGCGAAGGTCCCAGCATGAGGGCGTGAAGTGGGGCGCCCACCACCAGCCTCCCCACGCCCCCCGCCGCCGCCTCCGCGCCTTCCTCCGCCTGCGCCACCTGGAACATTCCAGCTGTCTCCTGCAGAGGAAAGCAACAATCACTTAATAACAACAATTATTCTATTGCGAAGAATGACTATTTCCTTTATAAAGTATATTTTATGTGATTGTAGCATTATATACCAATGGATTTATAATGAATGAGAGAGAGAGAGAGAGAGAGAGAGAGAGAGAGAGAGAGAGAGAGAGAGAGAGAGAGAGAGAGAGAGAGAGAGAGAGAGAGAGAGAGAGAGAGAGAGAGAGAGAGAGAGAGCTGCAGCAGAAGCACCTACCTGAGAGAGCGGCTGAAGGGTGAGCAGGTGAGGGTGGGTGACGTTGAAGGTGATGAGGGTGTGGCCGAGGGGGGCGTCCTCCCTCACCCTGACGAAGCGCCGCACCTCCTCCCCCGCACCCCACTCACAGCTCCTCCCTGTGAGGAAAAGGGACACAGCAATTAGGAGGTAAAGTTACACCTCATTCCATCGGATATTTATATATTAGAAAAGTCATTAACTTGCATCTTAATTTAAAAGATCAAGAAATTATGGCCAATAAGACGGGATGCCGACCACACATTAGACTGTACCGACCACACACTAGACTGTACCGACCACACACTAGACTGTACCGACCACACACGAGACTGTACCGACCACAAACTAGACTGTACCGACCACACACTACACTGTACCGACCACACACTAGACTGTACCGACCACACACTACACTGTACCGACCACACACTACACTGTACCGACCACACACTACACTGTACCGACCACACACTACACTGTACCGACCACACACTACACTGTACCGACCACACACCAGACTGTACCGACCACACACCAGACTGTACCGACCACACATCAGACTGTACCGACCACACATCAGACTGTACCGACCACACATCAGACTGTACCGACCACACACCAGACTGTACCGACCACACACGGAGACTGTACCGACCACACACGAGACTGTACCGACCACACACCAGACTGTACCGACCACACACCAGACTGTACCGACCACACACCAGACTGTACCGACCACACACGAGACTGTACTGACCACACACCAGACTGTACCGACCACACACTAGACTGTACCGACCACACACTAGACTGTACCGACCACACACTTGACTGTACCGACCACACACCACACACTAGACTGTACCGACAAGATGATGGTAGGTGTTGGTAGCGCCACCCAGGTGGAGGAGACGGACCGTGACTGTTCTGTTAGACTCTGATGTAGGCGTAGCGGCAGGTGGGGGGGGGGGGAGGTTGACGAGGGGGCGGGGTTGACGAGGGGGGGGGTTTGACGAAGGGGGGGGGGGTTTGACGAAGGGGGGGGGGTTGACGAAGGGGGGGGGATTGACGAGGAGGGGGGGTTGACGAGGAGGGGGGGGGTTGACGAGGAGGGGGGGGGTTGACGAGGAGGGGGGGGTTGACGAGGAGGGGGGGGTTGACGAGGAGGGGGGGTTGACGAGGAGGGGGGGTTGACGAGGAGGGGGGGGGTTGACGAGGAGGGGGGGGTTGACGAGGAGGGGGGGGGTTGACGAGGAGGGGGGGGTTGACGAGGAGGGGGGGGGTTGACGAGGAGGGGGGGGGTTGACGAGGAGGGGGGGGTTGACGAGGAGGGGGGGTTGACGAGAAGGGGGGGGGTTGACGAGGAGGGGGGGGTTGACGAGGAGGGGGGGGGTTGACGAGGAGGGGGGGTTGACGAGGAGGGGGGGTTGACGAGGAGGGGGGGGGGGGGGGGGTTGACGAGGAAGGGGGGGGTTGACGAGGAGGGGGGGGTTTACGAGGAGGGGGGGGTTGACGAGGAGAGGGGGGGTTGACGAGGAGAGGGGGGGTTGACGAGGAGAGGGGGGGTTGACGAGGAGAGGGGGGGTTGACGAGGAGGGGGGGTTGACGAGGAGGGGGGGGGTTGACGAGAAGGGGGGGGGGGTTGACGAGGAGGGGGGGGTTGACGAGGAGGGGGGGGGGGGGGGTGACGAGGAGGGGGGGGTTGACGAGGAGGGGGGGGTTGACGAGGAGGGGGGGGGTTGACGAGGAGGGGGGGTTGACGAGGAGGGGGGGTTGACGAGGAGGGGGGGGTTGACGAGAAGGGGGGGGGGTTGACGAGGAGGGCGGGTTGACGAGGAGGGGGGGGGGTTGACGAGGAGGGGGGGTTGACGAGGAGGGGGGGTTGACGAGGAGGGGGGGGGGGTTGACGAGGAAGGGGGGGTTGACGAGGAGGGGGGGGTTTACGAGGAGGGGGGGGTTGACGAGGAGAGGGGGGGTTGACGAGGAGAGGGGGGGTTGACGAGGAGAGGGGGGGTTGACGAGGAGAGGGGGGGTTGACGAGGAGAGGGAGGTTGACGAGGAGAGGGGGGTTGACGAGGGGGGGGGGGGTGACGAGAGAGGGGGAAGTGACGAGAGAGCGGAGGGGGGCTTCCCAGTGCTATATTGTCATAATGGCTTAGAGCTTCTCCTGATAGTTCTTTTCCCTTTCCTTCCCTTCCCCTCATTGTCTCGGGCTCGAAGTTACTAATGATTATATTCCACTTAAATAGAAATAGTCATTGAGGAGAAAGTGATTACATTCTCGCTGTTGTCTTCCGTAAGTAGGCGGGAAAAATATTAAATCCCCCGTTTTCTCTAACCAGAGCCGGGATTCGAACACGGGAGCGGAGGAGTTGAGGGAATATTGTAATCACTTCAGTCACCGCTACGATAATGGGTCAAAATTAGACAGTGATCGTGACATTCACCTTCAAGGGGGGAGGGGGGAGGTCGTCGTACTACCTACCTGTCTGTCTGTCTGTCTGTCTGTCTGTCTGTCTGTCTGTCTGTCTGTCTGTCTGTCTGTCTGTCTGTCTGTCTGTCTGTCTGTCTGTCTGTCTGTCTGTCTGTCTGTCCCTCAGTAATCGGATGCATTAATAGCTATCGCATGCATGACTTGGGCTAAGAGCTATCGCAAGCATGACTTGGGCTAAGAGCTATCGCAAGCATGACTTCGGCTAAGAGCTATCGCAAGCATGACTTGGGCTAAGAGCTATCGCAAGCATGACTTGGGCTAAGAGCTATCGCAAGCATGACTTGGGCTAAGAGCTATCGCAAGCATGACTTGGGCTAAGAGCTATCATACACAACTCTTTCTATGGATTATGTTAAACATGACATGATCGTAGGATTATCTAGCTGGTAAAACTGACTCCTTAAGGTTAACATACGTGTTCTCTTTAGGGCGTGTCCTCTTTAGAGAAGAGTTAGGGGGGACATGATCACTACATTCAAGATTCTCAAGGGAATTGATAGGGTAGATAAAGACAGGCTATTTAACACAAGGGGCACACGCACTAGAGAATACAGGTGGAAACTGAGTGCCCAAATGAGTCAGAGATATTTGGAAGAACTTTTTTTAGTGTCAGAGTGGTTGACAAATGGAATGCATTAGGAAGTGATGTAGTGGAGGCTGACTCCGTACACAGTTTCAAGTGTAGATATGATAGAGCCCAATAGGTTCAGGAACCTGTACACCTGTTGATTGACGGTTGAGAGGCGGGACCAAAGAGCCAGAGCTCAACCCCCGCAAGCACAATTAGGTGAGTTCACACACACACACTCGTTACCTAAGTAAGGAGGCATTTAGGGAGCTTTACACTGCCTACGTGAGGCCAGTCTTAGAGTATGCCGCCTCATCATGGAGTCCCCATCTGAAGAAGCATATAAGGAAACTGGAATAGGTTCAGAGGTTTGCAACGAGACTCGTCCCAGAGTTACGAGGGATGGGGTATGAGGAGCGCCTGAGGGAACTGTGCCTTACGACACTAGAAAGAAGAAGGGAGAGGGGGGACATGATAGGAACATATAAAATACTCAGGGGGATTGACAGAGTGGACATAGACGAAATATTCACACGCAATAGTAACAGAACGAGGGGACATGGGTGGAAGCTGGAAACTCAAATTAGTGACAGAGATGTTAGGAAGTTTTCTTTTAGCGTGAGAGTAGTGGGAAAATGGAATGCACTTGGGGAACAGGTTGTGGAAGCAAAAACTATTCATAATTTTAAAATTAGGTATGATAGGGAAATAGGACCAGAGTCATTACTGTAAACAACCGATGCTCGAAAGGCGGGATCCAAAAATCAATGCTTGATCCTGCAGACACAAATAGGCGAGTACAAATAGGTTAGCACACACACTGGCATAGAGCCCAGTAGGCTCAGGAATCTGTACATCAGTTGATTGACGGTTGAGAGGCGGGACCAAAGAGCCAGAACTCAACCCACGCAAGCACAACTAGGTGAGTAGACACACACGCGCTCGCGAGTGCACGATGAGACACGAGAGAGGATACAATATGAGCATGTAACTCTGGCAGCAACACGTGCTCTGATGGAGTAAATGGATGTGTACACGCGTGCGTGCGTGTATGCGTGCGCGCGTGCGTGTGCGTGTGTGTGTGTGTGTGTGTGTGTGTGTGTGTGTGTGTGTGTGTGTGTGCGTGTGTGTGTGCGTGTGTGTGTGGTGTGTGTGTGTGTAACCATGTATGCTAGACGTGACAAAACCTTTGCATTCCTCTTAGTGTACATGCTCTGCATTCACCTTAATTCCCTTTCCCTCCTTTCTAATTCCTTCCCCACCTCTTCCATCATATCCTTTTCCATGTACTTCCAAACCCCTTCTGTTCCTCTACACTACCGCGGTGTCATTTTCCTCCCCAGTCCCCCTCTTAGTGTTCCCTAACCTCTTCCCATCCTCAACCTTTTCAGCTCCCTACTTCCTCTCCCTTCCCTTTCCTCTCCCCTCCCTTCCCTTCCTCCCTTTCCTCTCCCTTCCCTTCCTCCCTTTCCTCTCCCTTCCCTTCCTCCCTTTCCTCTCCCTTCCCTTCCTCCCTTTCCTCTCACTTCCCTTCCTCCCTGCCGCTCCCACCCCTCCCCTTTCTCAGGTGTGGTCACACCTGCCCATTTATTCAGCTTCTCCACCTGTGTCTCGCTCTCACGGCTTCAGCAGCTCCACACCTACTCCCACCTACACACCTTCCTCTGCTTCACCTACTCCCACCTTCACCCAGGCTGGTGAGTATTCAGGTGGGGTTGGTGGATGGGCGGGGATGGGTGGGAGCTTTCATTTTTGTTTGACTTGATGTTTATACTTTCATTCAGGGGGGGGGGGTCGGGTGGGCGTTCTGATGGGCCTTGGGCGTTCAGGTTTGGGCGTTCAGGCTTCTGCCGTTGAGGCGGGTGCTAATATGTATGACATTGTGTGGGTGGGGGAGAGTGAGAGGGCGGCGCCGGCCACACCCCACAGGAGACAGACACAGAATGAGACAATACCAAATTTTAACAAGAAAAACGTGTGGTGTCACACATCACACACACACACATACATACACACACACACACATACACACACGTTTGGTGGGGAAACGAAGCAAAACCCAAACAAAAGGGACGGTGGGAACACACACACACACACACACACACACACACACACACACACACACACACACACACACACACACACACAGCACAAGAAAGTGAACCCGGATGTAATTGGACTCGTGGAAACAAAACTCTCAGGAATCATAACGAATGCCATGTTTCCCCAATAATATACTGTAATAAGGAAAGAGAGGGAAGGAAGGGGAGAAGGTCGAGTGGCCTTATTAATTAATGAGAAAGGAATGAAGTTTCAAAGAGATAATTATCCCGGACTGCAAGGGGTTCAGAGACTACATAACAGACACCATGACGATGGGAGGTCCAAGAGTAGTTGTTGCAGTGATATATAACCCACCACCAAACGACAGAAGACCCAGGCAAGAGTATGACAACAACAACATGGCAGTTAACACAATAATTGAGAGAGCAGCCTCTGCTGCCTGTAGAAATCGATCCCATCTGCTCATCATGGGAGACCACAGTCACAGAAGGATAGACTGGGAGAACAAGGAACCGCATGAAGGGAAAGAGACATAGGGAGCTAAACTATTGGAGGTGACGACAAGAAACTTTTTAAGCCAGCATGTCAGGGGGACCCGCAAGAATGAGAGGCAACGATGAACCAGCGAGACTCGACCTAGTCTTCACTCTGAAAGACTAAAGACATAAGGGAAAAAACATATTTCTGACATAAGGGAAATCGGTTTAGAGGCCCCCGTGGGAATGAGCGATCACAGTGTACTGATATTTGAGTATCTGGTCGAAGAAGGGTTAATGTACTCAAGGAAGGGACCTGAAACAAAAGGCTGGCATTCCGTAAGGGAAACTATGTGGAGATAAAAAAAATTATTAACAGATATAACATAGGAAACAGCTCAGAGGAAAGACGGCCCCAGACATGATGGACTACATCACGCAGAAGTGTAAGGAGGCAGCAGACAAGTTTGTCCCGGTCCAAAAGGAAAACAAACGAAAGGCAGATGAGAAACCCATGGTTTAATCGGAGACGTAAGTTAGTAAAGCAATTCGGTACAAGGGCGTTGAGAAACTATAGCAATAACAGAACACTTGAGAGCAGAGAAAGACACCAGAGGGTCAGGAATGAATACGTCAGGGTGAGAAGAGAGGCAGAAGGGCAATACGAAAATGACATAGCAAGCAAGGCAAAGAATCAACCTAAATTGCTGCACAGCCACACGAGGAGGAAAACAACAGTGAAGGAACAGGTAATGAAACTGAGAATAGGGGCAGCCAGATTCACTACAAACGTCAAGAAAGTGTGCGAGGAACTCAATAAGAAATTCCAGGAGGTCTTCACATTAGAGCAAAGAGAAGTTCCAGAGATAAGAGAGGGAATATCTAACCAGACACCACTAGAGGAGTTTGTGATTACCAGTGGGGAGGCGAGGAAGCATCTTCCGGATTTGGAGGTGACAAAGGCTATAGGCCCCGATGGAATCTCACCACCGATACTAAAGGAAGGAGCAGAAGTACTGTGCCTACCACTCTCCATGGTGCATAACAAATCACTGGTAACAGGTGAACTGACCCAAAATTTGGAAGACAACTAATGTAGTCCTGATATACAAAGAGGGGGATAGATAGTAGGCACCGAACTGCAGGCCAGTGTCCCGAACTTGTATACCATGCAAGCTGATGAAGATTGTGCGAAAAAACTTGAACAACTGAAGTGAAAGAACCTTTTAACACAACATCAACATGGGTTTAGGGATGGCAAGTCATGCCTCACAGGATTAATTGAATTCTACGACCAGGCAACAAAAATCAGGCAGGGAAGTGAGGGATGGGCAGACTGCATATCTGTGAACTACAAGAGAGCCTATGACACGGTACCACAAAAGATACTAGTGCACAAGCTGGAGATGCAGGCAGGAGTGAAAAGGAAGGTACTCCACGGGTTAAGGGAGTACCTAAGCAACAGATGGTAGCGAATCAATGTGAGGAGTGAGGTTTCAGATTGGCAAGGCTTCACCAATGAAGTCCCACAGGGATCAGTTTTTGAACCTATATTGTTTCTGATATATGTAAATGATTTCCCAGAGGAAATAGACTTGTTCCTCTCATTGTTTGCTGATGATGCCAAAATTATGAGGAGGATTAAGACAGAGGAAGATAGTATGAGGCTACAATATGACCTAGACAAACATGATCCAACAAATGGCTACTAAAGCTCAACTCGAGTAAATGTAAGGTAGTTAAACTAGGGGGTGGAAACAGGAGGACAGATACAGGATACAGAATGGGAAATGAAGTCCTTCATAAAACGGACAGAGAGAAAGATCTAGCAGTTTATATAATGCCAAACCTGTCTCCTGAAGCCCACATTAAAAGAATAACATCAGCGGCGTATTCAAGCCTGGCTAATACCAGAACAGCCTTCAGGAACCTGTGTAAGGAATCCTTCAGAACCTTGTATACCACATATGTAAAACCAATCCTGGAGTATGCGGCCCCAGCATGGAGCCCGTACCTTTTCAAGCACAAGACGAAGTTGGAAAAAGTTCAGATGGTATGCCACTAGGCTAGTCTCAGAACTAAGAGGCATGAGTTACGAGGAAAGGCTGTGTGAATTGCACCCTGTAGGTACAGGGGTACCAACCCTGTACCTACAGGGTACAGGGTAAATAAAGATAAACTGTTTAACACGATGGGTACGCGAACAAGGGGACACAGGTGGAAACTGAGTACCCACATGAGCCACAGGGACGTTAGAAAGAACGTTTTCAGTGTCAGAGTAGTTAACAGATGGAATGCATTAGGCAGTGATGTGGTGGAGGCTGACTCCATACACAGTTTTAAATATAGATATGATAGAGCCCAGTAGGCTCCGGAATCTGTACACCAGTTGATTGACAGTTGAGAGGCGGGACCAAAGAGCCAGCTCAACCCCTGGAAGCACAACTAGGTGAGTACAACTAGGTGAGTACACACACACACCAGAGGAAGTACACAGACAAGAAATGCCTTAATTACAGGTAAAGGCTCACTCTTTCAAATTATCTAAATCGCGTGGTAAATATAATTTTAAGGAATGTTAGGCTTGAAAAAAAAAAACATTGTATCTACCGCTACCGAGTCAGATATCAGTAATAGATTATTTGATCTTAATCACCTTAATCATTGATCGATTAATCATTTTTGCCAAGGATTCAACCCATCTCTGATAGCGTCCCAATCAAGGAGATATGACCCTAATATTGTAATTACCACGAGAGAGCGCTAAGTATGACTATATTGCATTTGGAAGAGATACGAGGACAAGAAGCTGGGATATGAGGACGAAGAACTGAAATATGAGGACAAGAAACTGGGATATGAGAAAAGGAACCGAGATATGAGGAAAAGGAACTGGAATATGAGGACAAAGCGCTGGGATATGAGGAAAAGAAGCTGGGATATGAGAACAAGGAGCTGGGATATGAGAACAAGGAGCTGGGATATGAGGACAAGGAGCTGGGATTTGAAGACAAGGAGCCGGGATATGAGGACAAGGAGCTGGGGATATGAGGACAAGGAGCTGGGATATGAGGATAAGAAGCTGGGATATGCGGACAAGGAGCTGGGATATGCGTACAAGGAGCTGGGATATGAAGACAAGGAGCTGGGTTATGAGGATGAAATGCAGAAAACGGTGCCCACGCATCCATCGGGGATCGAACGGTGACTGTGCAAGAATCTTGACTGTCACTCTAGCGACTAGTTCAGGTTAATGGACATTGAGACCTGTAATCAAGAAGGCATAATTGTCATCAATCGGAGAGTGACGACGTTCTCATGTAACCAGAACCACTATGACCAATGACAGCGCGCCACTGTAATGACGCCCACGTGTGCCTTCCACCACTGGCCAATAGGAGCGCAGGACTGACCTGATTGGACGAGCAGCAGTCCCAGCAGCAGCAGCGCCGCCCTGGTGTCGAGTCGGGCCATCACAACAGATGATCCTGAGAAGAGAGAAAATGTCATTATAATTTTAAGATAATACCAACCAATAGAGAAAACTAAGATACCTGCAGAAGGCCAGTTGACCTATAACGAGGCAGCTCTTATTTATATCCACCCAAACACATTCATATACATGTCTGACCTGTGCTTGAAACAATCCCACGTCTACTGTCACTCGGTAATTTGTTCCATAGATCAATCACCCAGTTTCCAAAACCAGTATTTTCCCCAAGAAACGGTTTGATCCCATTGAGGGCGATCAGAAAAGGAATCTCTGACCCTCTTTCACAGTGTTTCTCACAATATATAACCCACATCAACTACCCTTATAACCGTACTGGATACTGCACCGTGCAACACCAGTCCACCAACACATGGGCTTTCACCCAACTGTAAGGGGCCTGGTAGGCTGCTGGATAGCGCGCAGGACTCGTAATTCTGTGGAGCGGGTTCGATTCCCGCACCAGGCAGAAACAAATGGACAAAGTTTCTTTCACCTTGAATGCCCCTGTTACCTAGTAGTAAATAGGTACCTGGGAGTTAGTCAGCTGTCACGGGCTGCTTCCTGGTGTGTGTGTGGTGTGGAAAAAAAATAGCTAGTAAACAGTTGACAGTTGAGAGGCGGGCCGAAAGAGCAAAGCTCAACCCCCGCAAACACAACTAAGTGAATACAACTACAACCCCGACAATCTGAACTTTCCATAATGTTTACATTTAGGCTCTAGGCCTTTGTATTAATAAATATCTACTTATTATATACATAAATGTCTTAAAGTCCTCCCCCTCCAGTATAAATAAGGGAAGACGACAAAAAATATTTATGATGTAAAATAGTAATAAACATCTATTTTAACCATAGATTTACATCCGTCTGTATGAGTAGTATGGACTCAGTATTTCCAATAACCTTTTCAATACAAACTTAATTTGAATACTAAGCTGATTTGAATATACATTTGATTAGTAAAGACTTTTGTTCCACGAATCAGAGCCGGGATTAACCAATCGCCTACGAGATCAGTGACTTATCTCTATCATGGAAACTAATTTGTCTGTATTCTCTAAAGAGTTTAAGAGCTACGAAGGGGCTCTATGTCGTCCTGGTTGTAAGCCGATTGGCAGGTCGTGTTCCAGGGACAAGTACTGAATAAAACTTTCCCTGGGCTATGGGAAGGGAAAGCTCTAAGCCTGCTGACAGTACTCAGCCGTTGTCTACTCCTGTACCCATCTGTGTATAAAAAAAAAACTTACTGTAGGCAATATATGCACAGTAAGATTACTGTAACTGGCTCACTACAGATGCAAATTGCTCTGTATCAACACTGTTGTGGGCCACTTTTTGAACCACTTGCGATATCAAAGAGACTGTTGAAATGTATATTAAATTGCGAAATTTGCGTCAAAAGATTGTAACTTGCTTAGCTAATCGAACTCAACAGTTCAATCCCAGAGCCGATGATGATGATGGGCCTCTATAACCCTGCCCACCACCGCCCACAGGATGGGTATAGGATGCATAATAAATCAATAAATTTCATGCTTTTAAAATAAATCCATCTTCCAGTACGTTTTTCTGGCCATATTACCCGAACTGGTCGTTCAGTGACCCTGAGACAAGCGGGATGAGATGTTGATGGAGACATTGCAAGACGTCCCCTGGATGACTGAACATTGCAAAGGAATCACTGAGCAACATCGTGCACCGGTACCTCTGGTCAACACCTGCTTATTATCGCACCTGTGGAGATGTTCACCTGGCGAGGAACGTCACCACCCGAAGCTGGATCAATGGAGCTGTTGGAGTCGTTGAAATATTTAACATTATGGTCATACTTTTGTTGTTAACCGGTGAGAGGCAATCACGACCCCTGCTACACCCTCACCACACACAGTCACGACTCCTGCTACACCCTCACCACACACAGTCACGACCCCTGCTACACCCTCACCTCTCACAGTCACGACCCCTGCTACACCCTCACCACACACAGTCACGACCCCTGCTACACCCTCACCACACACAGTCACGACCCCTGCTACACCCTCACCACACACAGTCACCACTCCTGCTACACCCTCACCACACACAGTCACGACCCCTGCTACACCCTCACCACACACAGTCACGACCCCTGCTACATCCTCACCACACACAGTCACCACTCCTGCTACACCCTCACCACACACAGTCACCACTCCTGCTACACCCTCACCACACACAGTCACCACTCCACTACACCCTCACCACACACAGTCACCACTCCTGCTACACCCTCACCACACACAGTCACGACCCCTGCTACACCCTCACCACACACAGTCACCACTCCACTACACCCTCACCACACACAGTCACCACTCCACTACACCCTCACCACACACAGTCACGACTCCTGCTACACCCTCACCACACACAGTCACCACTCCACTACACCCTCACCACACACAGTCACGACCCCTGCTACACCCTCACCACACACAGTCACCACTCCTGCTACACCCTCACCACACACAGTCACCACTCCACTACACCCTCACCACACACAGTCACGACCCCTGCTACACCCTCACCACACACAGTCACCACTCCACTACACCCTCACCACACACAGTCACCACTCCTGCTACACCCTCACCACACACAGTCACGACCCCTGCTACACCCTCACCACACACAGTCACGACCCCTGCTACACCCTCACCACACACAGTCACGACTCCTGCTACACCCTCACCACACACAGTCACGACTCCTGCTACACCCTCACCACACACAGTCACCACTCCTGATACACTCTCACCACACACAGTCACGACTCCTGCTACACCCTCACCACACACAGTCACCACTCCTGATACACCCTCACCACACACAGTCACGACTCCTGCTACACCCTCACCACACACAGTCACGACTCCTGCTACACCCTCACCACACACAGTCACCACTCCACTACACCCTCACCACACACAGTCACGACTCCTGCTACACCCTCACCACACACAGTCATCACTCCTGATACACCCTCACCACACACAGTCACGACCCCTGCTACACCCTCACCACACACAGTCACCACTCCTGATACACCCTCACCACACACAGTCACGACTCCTGCTACACCCTCACCACACACAGTCACCACTCCACTACACCCTCACCACACACAGTCACCACTCCTGCTACACCCTCACCACAGACAGTCACCACTCCTGCTACACCCTCACCACACACAGTCACGACCCCTGCTACACCCTCACCACACACAGTCACCACTCCTGATACACCCTCACCACACACAGTCACCACTCCACTACACCCTCACCACACACAGTCACCACTCCACTACACCCTCACCACACACAGTCACCACTCCACTACACCCTCACCACACACAGTCACCACTCCACTACACCCTCACCACACACAGTCACCACTCCACTACACCCTCACCACACACAGTCACCACTGCACTACACCCTCACCACACACAGTCACCACTCCACTACACCGTCACCACACACAGTCACCACTCCACTACACCGTCACCACACACAGTCACCACTCCACTACACCCTCACCACACACAGTCACCACTCCACTACACCCTCACCACACACAGTCACCACTCCACTACACCCTCACCACACACAGGACCTTCACAAGTGTTCACACCCTTCCGGCGCGCCACCAAGAAGTTCCCCTAAACTTCTTCAAAGTTATAAAGAGGTTCCAGCTTAACAACACCAATAAAATAGCATTTAAATAATAAAGTACAAATTCAATGTGCTCATGCAGACGAGGAGTCACAATAACGTGGCTGAAATATGTTGACCAAACCACACACTAGAAAGTGAAGGGACGACGACGTTTCGGTCCAGGACGAAACCGAAACGTCGTCGTCCCTTCACTTTCTAGTGTGTGGTTTGGTCAACAATGTGCTCATGCAGCCCTTCAATTCACATTTTAATCGAAATTGCATGTCTTAAACTCCTCGTATGTTAACAGAGGCTGAAACGACAAAAGACTGTTGGTACTGAAGTTAAGTGATTCACTGAATTTCGGGAATTAGTGTATACATGTAGTTAAGCAGTATTACTGGCCTAATGATCATTCATACGCCTGAGGACTCTTCGTTGTTCGTAATGATTAACAATGTTCACACGACTTATTTACGAGCTCGATTTTTTTTTAGAGCAATCTGGCTGTTTTCTTCTGTTCGAATTGAACTTCCAGATGCTTCATCCACATACTGCAAGTACAAATAAATTGCCAACAGAACCCAATCACCTAATCTACCTTAAGTCTAACTATTCACGAAACTCTGTATATATTATCATTCGATAAAAATACTATTTTTACACATTGAAAATGATGAATGCTTCTCTGTGGCCAACACAGCTTGAACGATCATAGGTTAAATACCTCACACCTCATCTACCCAAGGCCTAAGAACACCCCCCCCTCCTCCAATGGAGGAGACAATAGACATAATGGAATAGAAAACTAATTATTGATTCCGGGATTTTCTCCTACATAGAAGTCGTTAATGAGAGGAAGTGTGAGGAGGAGCCGGATCTCTAATTCTCGCCAGGACTCACAGACTGTGAAAATGATGTCTTAAAGTGTTATGCTTTCTTCACTTTCTGTGGATCACTTTCCCCTGCCTCTTTGGCTCACTTTTCTTGATATTTTGATCTGATAAATTTTGTCCCTTTTCTTAATTCCCAGTCATAATTGTTTTTTAACCTTCCTATTTCTTAATTAGTATGAGCATTGTTATTCATTCTGCATTTCCTTACCTCTTCCACTCAACCTTTCCCGATCCCTTTCATTTTTCCGTCTTTATCTTCGTGTTCATGTCCCTTTCTAATCTTCTCAAATTAAAATTCATTCTCTACCACCTTCCTCTCTTTCTCTCTACATTTCCCTCTCTCCCCTACCTTTCCTTCCCCCCCTCCCTTCCACCACCCCATTCCATGTGGCATTTACCCGATC